GAGCCGAAGTCAGATGCTTCACCGACTAAGCCACCCAGGCACCCGAGGGAAATGTCTTTCTTGAGTCCAGATAGGAAGTGGGGAAAAGTTTTGATTTGTGTCACTACCCTGGGGTTACTGATTCAGGCTTTCTAAGTGTTGTTGTTTTGTTTTTTCCTTCCCTTTCAGGTCTTCATAGAGAAGCAGAAAGGAGAAATCCTGGGTGTAGTGATTGTGGAGTCTGGCTGGGGGTCCATCTTGCCAACGGTGATCATCGCCAACATGATGCATGGAGGCCCCGCCGAGAAATCGGGGAAGCTGAATATCGGGGACCAGATCATGTCCATAAATGGCACCAGCCTGGTGGGCTTACCTCTGTCCACCTGCCAGAGCATTATTAAGGTACCTGGAAATGGGAAAACCCAAAAAGGATGAAGTATGACTGTATTTCAGTCATTAGCACTGTGAACATAAACTGAGGGTCTGGCACAGAGGAGGACGCAAACACAAAAGGCATGGGCTTGCCCTCAGGCTCTTAACAGGCTCCTCCCTGAAATCATTTTTTGATCAAAGACGGTCTATTTGACTCGCATAACACCACTCTCTTGTCTGTGCCATCGCAGGCATCACTAATCAGTCACAGCACTCTATTCCCCTAAGCCTGCACCCAGCCTCCACCAAAGTTCCACAGCCCAGTAATCCAGATAATCACTGATAATTCGCTAGATATACTTGAGGTGATTGGCCATCCCTGTTACAAATCATGGAAATGCTTCAGGTCTGAGAGCACGGTTTCCTTCACAGTGGCCGTGGCTGTGATCCAAGTGAGCATGCCCCCCACCCCCAGAGCTTATGTAACATGATCCACACGTGCCAGGTGCTATGAGAAGCGGGGGAACTCCTGGTACGGGCTGTGTGTTCCTTCTTACATGTGAATGTCATTCCTTCTCGTTCAACCTGAACAGACACTCTTGCTCAAGGCTGAGAAGAGCTACTCACATGAAACTTTAATAGGAATATGTGAGAGGAAGAAATTAGATTTTCTTGTAAGAAGTGAACCATCCATATGTAGTTTCTCGAGCACATTGGAACTTGCTGATTGCATGGCCAGTAGGAACATTTCTCCTTCACCTCAGTATCTAGAGACCCCAGCTCCAAGCCAAGCACTGTGACACCACAGGCAGACTGGGTTCTATGACTTTGTTTCATCCCTCGAGGTTTCCTGAAGGCCTGTGACCTAGAACATAGCTGTGTGCGTTTGTGTGTGTGCATGTATATGGGCTGCGAGAGTGAATGAATTCATATAATGGTTATTCGAAATAAAATCACAAAAGCCAACATCCATGGCTGGGCAGTCAGAGGGTGGGAAGTCAAATTAAGCATCTAGGACACAGAGAGGGGTGCCTCTTCGTTTTTAGTGAAACAGATATATTCTGATTTCTCCACAGATTATCATTCGCAGAGAAAAAATAGTCCTCTTTGACCTCATTTAATTTCTTTTTGTTACATCTTAGACTTGAATAAATTCTCTACCCCTTCTTAACATACATTAAAGATTAAAGAACCTTGGGGCACCTGGCTGGCTCAGTCAGTAGAGCATGGGACTCTTGGTCTCAAG